AGAGGTAATATAATATTTGTTGTATCATTCAAATGATATGTACTTGTTTTGTTATTTTATGTATATAATATTTAGTTTCAGGTTTGTTACACTTGGCCTCAACAAATACCTCGTTCTAACTTATAAAGAGATGAAACTCCCACCAGGTGTGATATTGTGCATGATAAAATATTAATATACCCGTCAATTTATATTTATGTTTTTACCAAACCTGAATAAGAACGTGGGGCCCGGCATGGCCAGGTGGTTAGCGTCAATAATGTACCTGACTGTTGTGTGTAATGAACGCTACATTTCCACATTAATGATAAATGCTCTTCAAACTCGGTAATGCAACAACCAACTGCTTTTGTTGCAAGGTCGTTCGAAGTGCACGAAAATGACTTCAGTCTTCTTTCATTGTAGGGGGCCAGGTATGGCCAAGTGGTTAGAGCGCTCGACTCGCAATCTGCGGGTTCGAATCCCCGTCACACCAAACATGCTCGCCCTTTCAGCCGTGGGGGCGTTATAAGTGACGGTCAATCCCATTATTCGTTGGTAAAAGGAGTAGCCCAAGGTGGTGATGACTAGCTGCTTTCCCTCTAGTCTTACACTGCTAAATTAGGGCCGGAAGCGCAGATAGCTCTCGTGTAGCTTTGCGCGAAATTCAAAACAAACAAACCAGCGAATAAGAACGTAATAGGCTTAGCCAGCTTTATTTTTTCACAGATCTCGCCAAATGCTCCGAACTCAGTTACCCTCCAACCAGGACCAGACGAAGCTGGTGCTCCATGTGGTGTATCTTATGATTTAAAGGTTTATGTGGGAGATTCTGAGGAAGATAAAAGCCACAAAAGGTAACGCTGTATACTCAAACAAGCAACATTCAATACACTCAATTCTAAATTAAAGTGGACGGCAACCATACACTATATGTAGTTATTTGTAGTTACTGGCAGTATTATTAGGAAATTAACGTAACTTTCTGCGTTAATTTCACATCCTAAATTACTAAAAGAAATCGGAGAACTAGAACAATATTTTTAACACGTATAATTTAAGGATTGAGCATTTTTCTGTTTGTTTGTGCGCCCCCCCACCCCCACCCCAGTGTCACAGCGGTATGTATGCGGACTTACACGCTAGAAACCGGGTTTCGATACAGAGCACAGACAGCCCATTATGTATCTTTGTGCTTAGTTTCAAACAAACCAAACCTGTTTGTTTGTTTTTCATCTTATTAAGTACCCTGGCTCGGCACGGCCAGGTGGTTAGGGCGCTCGACTCGCAATCTGAGAGTCGCGGGTTCGAATCCCCGTCCCACCAAACATGCTCGCCCTTTCAGCTGTGGGGGCGTTATCATGTGACGATCAATCCCACTATTCGTTGGTAAAAGAGTAGCCCAAGAGTTGACGGTGGGTGGTGATGACTAGCTGCATTCCCATCTAGTTTTACACTGCTAAATTAGGGACGGCTAGCGCAGATAACCCTCGTGTGGCTTTGCGCGAAATTCAAAACAAACAAACAGTTAAGTGTCCCTGGTGGTGAGCTTTTGAAAAGCTTAATTATGGTAGCATAAACTTAACTTTCTAATTGTACGGAATTGTTCAAGATACTTCGATGAAAGGATGAATGTAAATATACAGAACCACTGATATTATTCTGTTTCTTAGAGTTACATAACGAGAAACGACACACCAACACGTTAATTACCCTCCTCTTAACGCTCCTGGTAGGGAAAGTTAAATATTCTGTTTTTGTATTAAAGTCAAATACAAAACAACAAAGTTTCTATGAATTAATATAGAAGAATTGTTTATAAAACATCAGGGTTAACAATATAGCGTTTAAATTATTTTCTCAAGCACGTGCTGGTTTTCTTATGGTCAATGTAAACATTTCTTATTTGCGAGTTTTCTTATCGGCATGACTTTAGAATAATTTTAATGGGTGGCGCGTACTAATAAATAATTGGATATTTGGAGATGATTGTAAAAAATCTCCTTGAGTATCACCAACAGATGGCGAATTCCGCTCTAGCAGTTGCTCCCATTTTTACACAGACTATAAGCAAAAGCGCCCCCCAGTGGCTCAACTGTAAGTCTGAGGGATTACAACACTAAAAATCAGATTTCGATACCCGCGGTAGACAGAGAACAGATGCCTCATTGTGTAGCTTTGTGCTTATCACAAAATAAATCAACAAATAGGTAAAAGCGTGATCATTTGTTGCAATAGACGATATTATTCTATTTTCAGTAATATCACAGGCTTCATACTTTTTTTTTTTTGCATAAAAATATGCGCACGCACGTAGATAAGTAATAATACCCAGGTGCGTACCCTCAGAGTCCACTTAGTATGGGTGCAAAATTTCAGGTTTCTATTTTCTTTGCTCTTGGAGTTATGGCAGTTACGTATTTTTTCCACGTGTTTTTTCGCTAGCTTGCCTCATTGACAAAAGCGCACGCGCATGTGAATAAAATACACAGGTGCACACCATTAGTGCCCACTTAGTATGTGTGCAAAAGTAAATGTTTCTAGGTTCTTTCCTCTTGGAGTTATGGTGGTCACATTGACACACCCTTTTATTATTATAGATTGGTTTCACGTAGGACCTTTTTGTTAGTGCATAAGATTGAATTCTGGTGACCTTTGTCCCCCGGTGGGACAACGGTATGATTATCGAACTTACAACGTTAAAATCTGGGGTTCGATTGTCCGTGGTGGACACAGTAGACAGCCCAATGCTGTTTTGCTCTAAAACAAACAGGCTGCTGATCTTTACGTAGTAACTAGAGATCGAAATCAACAAGTGGGCTGAGGTAAATGGTTAAGTTTTGGATACTTTGCACATAGAAAAGAAATGTGTCCGCCATGGAATGTTAGAGTGTTTTAACTATTATGGGATGTTATAGGGTAGTTTTAATCAATATGAGATGTTAGAGTGTTTTCACTATTATGGGATGTTATAAGGTAGTTTTAATTAATATGAGACGTTGGAGTATTTTAACTATTATTGGATGTTAGAATGTGTTTCTTTAACTATTATAGGATGTTATAGTGGTTTTTTAAAATTATTATGGGATGTTGTACTGTAGTTTTTAACTATTATAGGATATTATAGAGTAATTTTAACTATTATGGGATGCTATAGATTGGTTTTAACTATTATAGGACGCATAAAGTGTCTAACTATTATGGGATGTTATAGAATATTAACTATTATGGGATGCTATAGATTAGTTTTAACTATTATAGGACGCATAAAGTGTCTAAATATTATGGGATGTTATAGAATATTTTTACTATTATGGGATGCTATAGAATATTTTAACTATTATGGGGTGTTATAGAGTGTTTTAACTATTACGTTGTAGTGGTTTTTAACTATTACTAGCATATAGCCCGTCAAAAATGACGTGGCAGGTACTACCACCCCCACCCCATAGTATACCCTAACCTCACATTTCATAGCTAACTAAAATAAATTTTACGAAGTCAAGCTTGACCAACGAAGAGGCAGAAAATGGGATGTTATACTGTCGTGAACGCCTTCACGCTCCTTTTTTGGTAATGATTAACAATATATATCGTCGCTTAGCAACAGAACTATTATGGGATGTTATAGAGTGTTTTAACTATTATAGGTTGTTATATAATGTTTTTAACTATTATAGGATGTTATAGAATGTTTTTAACTATTATGGGATGTTATAGAGTGTTTTCTAACTATTACGTTGTAGTGGTTTTT